ACCAGGAATGCTGGTAATTGTAGTTCTGGTGGCAGGCAGATCTAGACACTAGAGCAAAGTGAGCCTGGAGCGAGTTGTTGCGTTGGGGGATGGAGGGAAAGCAAAGGTGAGAGACGTAATAAAATCAGAGTGTCTGGGAAAAATTAAAGGGAAGATATCCTAAAACTTCCAGGAAGTCTCCACCAATGAAGCAAAGGAAAAAAAAAAAAGTTCTATTATAATGTGAGCAACAAACCAAACCAGGTTGGGGTCTCAGACAATTTGCTCATCTGATTGCAAAGACAGACAGAAACTCCCGGATTGGAGAGGGCTCCCAGATTGGAGAGGGTGCAAGTCTGGCTGAGGGACCCACCCCCTCTTCCTCATGCAAGAATTTTTGTGCACCAGGCCCCTAGTATAGAATAATTGAGATATTAAATTATGGTTACAATATGTAGAAGAAAATCTCAGAATCCTCTAAAGTTCTTGATAGGGGCTCAAGCCCAGATATTAAGATTATGTGGGCCTCTGATTCAGGGGAATTGTGGTTGTGTGTGGAACTGCCAAATGCAGAGCTAAAGGATTTCAAAGTTTTTATTTCAAGGCAGTCTAAGAAGAACTGCTCTTGAGCTCAATCTCTCATGAAATGGACACACAAGACTCCAGGCAATGCCAGTCCTCTGACTGGAGTTGATACGATACATGGTCCTATGGTCGTGGTGGTTAGTGTTGTGGGGTCAAACCCTGGGTTCAAAATAAGACCACCGGAGGCTGATGCTTTATTTTAAAAAAGCAGGCAAAGATTTATTGAAATATCTGGCCAGGACAGCCGCAAGAGTACCACATGAAGGCAGACCCTACACGACTGTGCCGCTTCAGGGGCAGGTAGTTCTTTATAAAAGTTCTGAGAAGGAAAACCCCTATTTTTTTTTAATATATATATATATATATATATATATATATATATATATATATATATATATATATTATTGATTTTTTACAGAGAGGAAGAGAGAGGGATAGAGAGTCAGAAACGTCGATGAGAGAGAATCATCGATCAGCTGCCTCTTGCACACCCCCCACTGGGGATGTGCCCGCAACCAAGGCACATGCCCTTGCCCGGAATTGAACCCGGGACCCTTCAGTCCGCAGGCTGACGCTCTATCCACTGAGCCAAACCGGTCCCGGCAGAAAACCCCTATTTTGCAACAAACTGTTGTTTGGAATTTTCTGCTGTTTTTCCTAGATAAAATGTTGCTTTCTAGTTTGCTTTAGCCTGTTTGAAGAATGATGAAGATAAACTTAGCTGTCTGACCTTGTAGGCCAGAGACCAGATATGCCCACAATCTCAATACCATGCCAGGTGCACTCTTTTTTTTTTTTTTTTAATTAGATAGAATTGTATTGTTTTCAAGGCCAGCATCAAGATAACCACTAAGTGTACATAGGGCTGGCTCTTTAATAAAAAATTAAAAAAAAGGAAGTTCTGCCTGTAACCTTGCTTAGAATTTGAATTCATCCTCCCTAAGCCCATTGCATGATGAACAAAGCAAGTAGGGTTAAAATTCAAACAGCAGTTTTTACCCAAGTATGATTGCTACCATATTTCAGTTAGAAATCCCAGGTACCCAATAAATGCATGTAGATCAGATAGTTTTGTAGGCTTCTGCATGGAGAATTCATATGTCCTATAGTGTCATAGAAATCCTTGGCATTTCAGTTTGTGGCCTTGAAGTGGGTCAATAATCTCCAGATTCTTCTATTTATAGCTGCCTGCTCTGAGCCCTCCTTGGTTTCTTGTGTAGTGAGTGCATTAACCTGTAGATTTGCTGGGTCCCTTTTTGAATAGCAAGGATGAGGCAAGCAGCCACACAGATCAGATACTAGAGCAGAAGTCTGAAAACTTCTGAAAGGATCAGATGTTAAATATTTCAGTCTTGTGAGCCATATGATCTCTGTAGTATGTATAAAACTTTGCTATTGTGGAGCAAAGGAGGCACTGACAATACCAATGGGCAAGGCTACATTCCCATACTTTATTTACAGAAATACGGAGCAGCTAGATTGGAACGATGGGTGGAAGTTTGCTGAAACTTGCACTAAAATATTGCTATAGGTAGGGTGACTTCATTAGTGTGTGACCTGAGCAATCACTCAGGACAATGAACTCAGACGAGCCCTGTACTTGGTTTGATGCTCTACTGTCAAGGTCTTCAAATTCTTAATTTTAAATAAGAGTCTCCACATTTTCCTTTTGCCCTGGGGCCCACATTACTAGGTAGCCAGTCCAGGTTATATGTAATCTTTTTACTATTATATCGTGGTAGGTGTGAACAAACCAAATCAATCTGAGATTCAGAGGATAAAATTATGAAATAAAATTATGAAATAAGATGTATGAGATCAGATAAGAGACAGAAGCACCATAGAGATAAAATGTTTTCTGATCTAGAAGTAAAAAAAGAAGAACCTGGCTTTTATCTTATCAACAATAATGGCATATATAAAGAAAGGATGGGTCTGTCTGAAGAATGGCTACTTAATGATTCATTAACAGTATTATGGACTACAGTTAAGAACTGTGGTTAAGGACTTAATAGGCAGTAAGAATCTGTTGCTGAAATATCAAACCCAATGCCAACAGGTATCTAAAATGCATCACATCTGGCCCTGAGTCTAAGTACCATAATTTTACTTACAGTTTCTTACACATTTCTCTCTAAGAATTCAACAATGAGCTGGTCAGAATAGCCAGTCCTCTTGCTAGTTAAATTTTTCATTGCTGTTAATTCCAACAGCATGGTTGTTTACATATTACTCTTTTGTTACTTCAGTGACCCCACGTTCTGGGCAAATGGATAAAATTCAAATAAAGACCCACCACAAAAATGATGACTTCAGGGGTGAGGGCTAGGTGAAGATGGACAAAGAGCGTGCAGGAGGCAGCCAATTAATGATTCTCTCTCTTATCGTGAATGTTTCTATCTCTCCCTCTTCCTTCCTCTCTGAAATTAATAAAAATATATTTAAAATATGATGTCTTCAACAAGGCAATATCACAAATCAGCCATTAATCAATATCCTCTTCTTACATTACAGGGGTAAATGGGGACATCTGTAATAGAGTCAACCATAAAAATAAAGTTTAAAAAATGATGTCTTCAGCCTAGCCAGTTTGGCTCAGTGGATAGAGCATCGACCTGTGAACTAAAGGGTCTCAGGTTCAATTCCCGTCAAGAACACATACCCGAGGTGCAGGCTCAATCCTCAGTGGAAAGCATGCAGGAGGCAGCCAATTACGGTAATGATTCTCTCTCATCATGAATGTTTCTATCTCTCCCTCTTCCTTCCTTTCTGATATTAATAAAAATATATTTAAAATATGATGTCTTGCTGAAACCAGTTTGGCTCAGTGGATAGAGTGTCAGCCTGCAAACTGAGAGGTCCCGGGTTCGATTCTGGTCAGGGGCATGTACCTTGGTTGTGGGCACATCCCCAGTTGGGGGAGTCGTGCAGGAGGCGGCTGATCGATGACTCTCTCTCATCAATGCTTCTAACTCTCTATCTCTCTCCCTTCCTCTCTGTAAAAAATCAATAAAATATATTTTAAAAAATAAATTAAAAAAAATAAAATAGGCAATGTCACAAATCAGCCATTAGTCAATATCCTCTTCTTCATTACATGGCTTTGTTTAGTTTTCACATTAGGCTTTATCTAGGCAGTGAAAATGATGTCAGAGGAATTAATGAGCCAGACTTCCTAGACACAAGTGGGAAAGAGGTTCTTGTGATAGCTTCAGAAAATGAATTTTCCAAGATTCGCATTAGAGGTTTGGGCGTGGAATGTTTTATTGGCATGGCGTTACATTTCTTGGGTTGCAAAGTCCCCTGCCCCTTAAGCCAGTCCTGGAAAAGTTGCTGCTGGGAGGGTAGCAAAGCCAGAAACAAGGCCAGTGTCCAGAGTTTCTGTTCCATGTCGTAGCTGGGTGTAGTTCAGCATGAAGACCAGATTAAAGTTTATTAGTCTAAAGTAGTGTGCCATGTGGGCCCAGGAGAGTGTGCCCCTGCAACTGGAGTCACAGGAGCTAGGCACCCTTGGAGCCAAGAAAGAATGGCCCCTTTTGTCTAGGTTAGAAGTTTATATATTTCAATTTTGCAAGCTTACAGTGGCCATCGTGGCCAATTACTTGTTTCCAGTTGTGATTGATGGGCAAGCATTTTCCCACACCACTCAGATCTTCCTGGGCATGCATCTATCTTGTTTTTCCTTTCCTCTTTTTCTGTTCAGTAATAATCAGGTGTCAGAGACAGCAAGAGCACTGCTCAGCACTGCTGCTCTGTGTTGCTCTGAATCCATATATTCTTCTAAATTCTTCTCTTCTTTTAATATATTTCATTGGTTTTCCACAGAGAGGAAGAGAGAGGGAGAGAGAGTCAGAAACATCGATGAGAGAAAAACATCAATCAGCTGCCTTCTGCACACCCCCTATTGGGGATGTTCCCAAAGTCAAGCAAGGTACATGCCCTTAACCGGAATCAAACCTAGGACTCTTGAGTTCCCAGGCTGACACTTTATCCACTGAGGCAAGCCGTTTAGGACTCTAAATTCTTCTTGACTATGCCAGAGTAGGTTCCTTCTCAAACACTATTCATTGCACTAACTGCTGGGTCTGAGTCCCTCTGCCTAGAAATTGGACCTTCTTGGATCCAGATCTTAGAAAGAGAAGCCATGAGAAGTTGTGAGTATATAAGAATGAGTACTGTAGCCGAAACCAGTTTGGCTCAGTGGATAGAGTGTTGGTCTGTGGACTGAGGGGTCCCAGGTTCGATTCCGGTCAGGGGCATGTACGTTGGTTGCGGGCACATCCCCAGTGGGAGGTGTGCAGGAGGCGGCTGATTGATGACTCTCTCATTGATGTTTCTGGCTCTCTGTCCCTCTCCCTTCCTCTCTGTAAAAAAATCAATAAAATATATTTAAAAAAAAAAAAAAAAAAAAAAAAAAAAAAAGAATGAGTACTGCAGAAGCCAGAGGCCATATAGCCATCAAACAAAACAGTCCTTCACAGCAATCCCATATAGGCAGCCGCACACTGACTGGTAAATATGTATCTTTCCCACACAGTAGTAGCAGTTTCTGTGCCCACAGTTATTCTCTGGGCAGCCGCCCACTGCCCCTCTAGACCGATACCTTTACATAGCAACAGAACAAGATCTCTCTTAGAGCTACGGCCTCAGTAGCTTCTCCTGTCTCCCCCGCCCAGCACACTGCCAGGGCTCTGTAACCTCACATAGTAACTCAGCACACTGGATGGTTAACATGGTAGCTACATGTGAGCGCTTAGCCTTACATCATAGCAGTACCAGCTCTCAGCTCCGTTTCTTCTGTCTCTCGCTTCTCCAGCACATTCTAGCTGGTCAGCACCATGTATTATACTCATTAGACAAAGAAGGCTAGTTGCCAACAATGAGATCAGTTATTTGTCTACAGAAGGGCACAGCGGCTGAAACCGGTTTGGCTCAGTGGATAGAGCGTCAGCCTGCGGACTGGAAGGTCCTTGGTTGCGGGCACATCCCCAGTGGGGGGGGTGCAAGAGGCAGCTGATCGATGTTTCTAACTCTCTATCCCTCTCTCTTCCACTCTGTAAAAACTCAATAAAATATATTTAAAAAAAAAGAAAAAAGAAAGAAAAGAAAAAAAAGAAGGGTGCAGGGTACCATGGGTTTGCTGTGGCCTTGCAGCTGTGTAGTTCTGAGACATTCTGATTATGATTCCCATGTTCAGAGTGGCCTTGGCCATTCCGACATACTAACAACAAGGCCTTCACACTCTAAGTGGCCTTGACTGTCTGGCAACTCCGGTATGGTTCCCACACCAGGTTATTACAACAGCATTAATAATCCCCTAAAAATTTTATACAGGGAAGTTGTATGGTTAACTCTTGATTTCCTAATAGTTTGGAAGAAGAAATAGATGTAGACAGACAAGTGGGTTAGGGGGAAAGGGGACTAAAAGGAAAGTAAGGAGGAAACTGAGAAAAGGGATGATCAAAAACATTCCATTGTATCTGGATATTATGGTTCATAGGAAACCTGAAAGTTAGTCTTTCTATTCAGCCTAGTGGTAGAGGGTGTAGAATTACCACACATCTACCCTTCATCTCCCCAAATCATCAGAGAGTGTGAAGACAGGCTGAAAGTTAATTTTTTTCATATGTGGTGGGTTTTACCAAGGACAGTTAAGATTTAGAACAGCATACTTTAATTACAGGGAATGATTACTTAAAGACATTTGATTACTATTAAATACATTCCATAAGATCAATGTATAATTTAAAAAATAAAGTATGCTTTTGCCGAAACCGGTTTGGCTCAGTGGAGAGAGCGTCAGCCTACGGACTGAGGGGTCCCGGGTTCGATTCCAGTCATGGGCATGTACATCCCCAGTGGTGGGTGTGCAGGAGGCAGCTGGTCGATGTTTTGTTCTCATCAATGTTTCTAGCTTTCTATCCCTCTCCCTTCCTCTTTGTAAAAAATCAATAAAATATATATATTTTTTAAAAGTGTGCTTTTGACTTTAATAGCTGCAAATTCCTGCTAATGAAAGAAATCAGAAGAATCTACTAAAATCAAAGCTTGGGTAAATAAGATACGAAAAGATAAGATACAGACTATACAACCTATGAGGGAAGGTGGGTGGTGAGGGGGTAAGAGATCAACCATAGGACTTGTATGCATGCATATGAGCAAAACCAAAGAACACAGACAGTAAGGGGGGTGAGGGCTTGTGCTTGGGGGAGGGAGTGGCAGGAGAGAAGTCAATGGGGCGGGAGGGGGGGGGGGAAGGAGACTCATGTAATACTTTAAACAATAAAGAATTTCTTAAAAAGAAGATAAAGACAGACTTATCATGCATGAAAACACACTTGCAATTTAAGTTTCTCTCTTTTTTTTTTTAAAGAATAAAGGATGAATTTTATAAAAGATCAAAATTTAAAGGCAATTTAAAATAGCTTATAGTTTGGCTGGTGTGGCTCAGTGGTTGAGCAGCAACCTATGAAGTAGGAAGTCACACTTTGATTACTGGTCAGGACACATACCTGGGTTGCTGGTTCTATCCCAGTGTGGGGTGTGCAGGAGACAGCCAATCAATGATCTCTCTCATCACTGATGTTTCTATCCATCTCCCTTCCTCTCTCTGAAATCAATCTATATATTTGAAACCCTAATATGCAAATAGACCAAACAGGGGAAACAACTGAACAACCAAACAACCAGTCGCTATGACGAGGGCTGACCACCAGGGGGGCGTATGCAGAACATGGCAGGCGTATGCAGCAAGCGGCAGAGTGTGGAACATGGTGGGCTTTGAGAACCGCAGGATGGTGGAGCAGGTGAGGGGGGGGGCACCAGATCAAGGTGGGGTGCCAGTCACTGTCATTAGGGCGAGCCTCTGGTGGGTACTGGTACTGAAAAAATCTTTGCTCCCCTACACTGCAGTGCTGCCCAGCACTCACACCTGTTGCCAGCATTGGCCCCACTCACACCTGATCCTGGTGCTCAGCGATGGGCCTGACCACTCAGCGCTATCAGAGGGTGTGAGTGGTGGCTGCCAGCCCAATCTCCCCTCAGGGCTCCTCCACCTCTCCCTTCTCCTGAGGGGCGATTGAGGCTGGCAGCTGCCACTCGCACCCACTGGTGGCACCAGCCCAGTTTGCATCCGCTGCTGGTGCTGGCCCAATCGCTCTGCACCATCAGTGCATGGGAGCGGCAGGAGCAGGACTGCCAGCAGAGAGAGGATTGGGGGCTGCAGTGGGAGGGGCCATCAGAGACACAGAGTATGGACCCAGACCTGCCCCTGTGCCCATTGCAGCCTCGAGGCCCACAGTTCCTTTTAGGGTGCACAAATTTGTGCACTGGGCCCCTAGTAAAAACATAATTAAAAAAACAAAACTAAACTAAACCAAATGAATTTTACATAATGCTGGACAAATACAAGTTATAAAAAACAATATTGCTGAAATTTTAGTTCTTAAACATTTTTATAAAAATACAATTAAATATTTAAAAATTGAAAACACTTTTTCTTCTACTTTCCTATGTTCATCACTAGGGCAATGCAAATTAAACTAACAAAGCACAGATTAATCAGGGGGGGGAAAGCAAGAATTTTTATTAATATTTACATGTATGGGAGTTTGCAGGAAAGAAGTAAAACTCAAAAAAGTGGTTAAACTCAGGGGCTTATATACCCTTTTAATAAAAGAAAGGGGGTTGGGTTTCAAGGGATGATAAATTGTGGGGAAATGATGAGGAAATATACGCAGGAACTAATAGGAGATAAGGGTTATTTTAGTAAGGTCTGTTTATACAAACTCTTCTTGGGTTGTAGGCCTCTGTCTTAGATGGACGTTGTACTTGCCTCCCTGGTAAAGGTTGGGGGTGGGGCTTTCTCAAAGGGAAATTTATGCCCTCCTTTTAGACAGACGAGGGGAGGGTAGAGAACTCTCTTGCTTCTGTTGATTCTCTATTGTCTTCAGCTCAAAAGAATCCTCACGTCAAAGAGGCTTATTTTGAGAAGACTCCTCAGGTCAATGCATCCTACCCTGATAACTATGTTTAATATTCATGATAGGAATATTCAGAAGAAAGATTGTTCTGTAGGTTTCACAGATACAGAAAAATTTTCTTTAGTTGTATATTTAAGAGCATGTAACTTGCCGAAACTGGTTTGGCTCAGTGGTAGAGCGTCGGTCGGCGGACTGAGGGGTCCTGGGTTCGATTCCGGTCAAGGGCATGTACATGGGTTGCGGGCACATCCCTGGTAGGGGGTGTGCAGGAGGCAGCTGGTCGATGTTTCTATCTCATCGACCTTTCTAGCTCTCTATCTTTCTCCCTTCCTCTCTGTAAGAAATCAATAAAATATATTTTTAAAAAAGCAGGTAACTGGGCTGGCAAAAAAATTCTTGAATGGCAAGCCTAATTAGTAGGTTGCATGAGATGGAGAATGCTACCAAAGCTCAGTCCAGTCTGTGCTTTTTCATGTTAAAAAAATTATAAAATTTATTAATTTGTCAACATCCTGTTTTGGATGATTCCTGTGAGGACAGTGGAAATTGACTCATTCATTCTTTTTTAGAAAGTTCTTGATTACATTTTAAAGCAGCTTCATTTAAATATAATTGACATACTGTGCAGTCGACCCACTTAAAATTACAGTTAAGTAGTTTTTAGTGTATTTACAGAGTTGTGCAACCATCACCACAATCTAAGTATAGAACATTTTTATCAAACCCCAAAGAAACCCAGTGCCTTTTATTACTGGGACCCCAATGGTATTTTTATTTTGTTTTGTGTGTGTGTGTGTGTGTGTGTGTGTGTGTGTGTGTGTGTGTGTGATTTTGTTTTTTAGTCCATCTGCCTGTGTACACTGGCCCAAGAAACATACAAAGAGGTGTTTTCACTATAGAAGGAAAAATAGTTTAATATTGAATTGGCCGATATGGAGGTGGGGAGTTTATGCTCTAAAGTCCCGCTCCCCAATGACATGTAAGTTACAGATTATATAGGGGAAAATCACAAGACACCATGAGTTATGAGTTATGCTGGGAACTGACTGGCTATAGATAAAGTAAGGGTAGTAAATCATTTCATCAGGTCTTTTGACAGCTCTAACGTTTGTTCCCACTCACCTCTGTCTGATTTCATGAGAAAGTAGCCAGGGTTTTTTTTGTTTGTTTGTTTGTCTGTCAATTTAGGGCTCAGGAGCTAAAACATAACTAACATTAAAATGTTGTCTTTTGCTAAGACCGGTTTGGCTCAGTGGATAGAGTGTCGGCCTACAGACTGAAAGGTCCCAAGTTTAATTCCGGTCAAGGGCATGTACCTTGGTTGTGGGCACATCCCTAGTAGGGGTGGTGCAAGAGGCAGCTGATCAATGATTCTCTCTCATCGATGTTTCTAACTCTCTATCTCTCTCTCTTCCTCTCTGTAAAAAAATTCAATAAAATATATATATATATTTTTTAAAATATATATATTTTTTTCTAGAGGTCCAGACATTGTCACCATTAGCCAGATTCCTGCTACTGTCTTCTGCTACCATGGTGGTTGCTGATAATCTTGCAGAAAGACTAGGTCTCTGAGGATTATATAGAGAGAGGGAAGAAGATGATTTCTGTAGCTAGAAGTTAAAACTAAATTTAATCAAAGGCATAGGGACCCTGAGTTTTACTTTTAGCAATCACTCTTCATTTGTCCTCAATCCCAAAAGACCTAGGCTATTATTAATATATTTTCTATCGTGTTTCCCCGAAAATAAAACATTCTCCGAAAATAAGACCTACTTACAGGTTTCCTTCTGAGTGAAATATAAGGCCCCTGAAAATAAGGCCCCCCCCCTAGGCTCTGTCTCATGGCGCTAAAGACATGAAGACATTTCTTCATGAAAGAAAAATAGATCAGATAATGATTCCCGCAGGAACGACGGCCTATCTCCAGACTCTTGATATTGCAATAAGCAAGCCATTCAAAGACAATTTGCACATGGAAATTAATGACTACATTGAAAATAGAATGGAGAGCCGAACCGGTTTGGCTCAGTGGTAGAGCGTCGGTCTGCGGACTGAAAGGTCCCAGGTTCGATTCCGGTCAAGGGCATGTACGTTGGTTGTGGGCACATCCCCGGTAGGGGGTGTGCAAGAGGCAGCTGGTCGATGTTTCTCTCTCATCGACGTTTCTATCTCTCTATCTCTCTCCCTTCCTCTCTGTAAAAAATCAATAAAATATATATTTAAAAAAAAGAAAAAGAAAATAGAATGGAGAGAAATCAGTGTGGAAACTTTGTGGAACCTAAACTGCAAGAAGTTGTGACTTGGGTGAAGAATTCATGGGAGAAAATCACTGACAGTTGCATTGCAAATTCACTACGAGCAGGCTACCTTGACAAGAAGTACTCATTTAAAGACAGTGCTATTGCTAAACATGAGAGATTTGGTCCACTGATTCTGAAAGAAATGGAGTCACAAGAAATTTACCAGGAAATTCAGAAATTGGATTGTTATGATGATGTTCCAGAAGATGATGACATGATTGTCATTGAATAAATGAGTAAATTCTTGATACTGTAGGATTCACAGTTTGTCTGGTTTGTGTTGACAACTACTGTACTACCGTACCATATACAGGTAATAAATTTCCTTTATTTTTATTTAACAATAAATGTGTACCGTATTCCAGCGTTTTTCAACCGCTGTTCCGCGGCACACTCGTGTTGCCTGGTGTGCCATAGGTGCAGACAAGACAAGAATTTTATAATTTTTCACTATTTTGTTTACTTAATATTTCATAATAAAGTAATTATAAAATACTTTCTTTGTGTTTATTTGATTCCTATTCAAGAGAATTACTTTATATATAGTCAATATAGGCACAGAGTTAAATTTTTTTAACATTTTCTAATGGTGGTGTGCCTCGTGATTTTTTTCATGAAACAAGTGTGCCTTTGCCCAAAAAAGGTTGAAAAACACTGCCGTATTCTTCATGGAAAAATAAGACATCCCCTGAAAATAAGACCTAGCGCATCTTTTGGAGCAAAAATTAATATAAGACACTGTCTTATTTTTGGGGAAACCGGGTATCTTTATAGTTTTGCCTATTCTGGATATTTTATAAAAATGGAATTATGTGTTATAGTCTCTTGTGACTGGCTTCTTTTGTTGAATCGCAAATTCGCAAGCTGGATAAATGCCTAATTAGCCAATTAGTTAGGAGTCCTCTTTATTGTGAGCAGGTTCAGAGCAGATTACCTCTGTCAAATTCTGAACAAAGACTAGTAGGAGTATTTCTTTCTTATATCCTTCTAGTTCTTTGTTTAAGACAGCTTGTAATCTTGACTATATATCGTATCTAACAAACACCTGTCATGTCTATATAGACAACTTGTAACCTTGAGTACATATCATATCTATATAGACACCTGTAACCTTGGATGAAAAAACACTTGGCAGAATATGTGAATTAATATCAGTATCAGGGTATCAGCCCCTTTAGATGGCTAGTTTGCAAGATCAGACAGTTAAGTTTATCTTTTCTATTAAAACAAAAAGACAAAGTTATTTTACAGTCTAAAAATAACAGAGTTGATGTACAGAATGAGAGACTAAGAATAACAGAGTAGTTCAAACAGCAGTTTCAAACAGCAGTTTTCCAAAGGAGGGATTACTATGCTTCACTTTTGGCATGATGTTTTCAAAGTTCATGTACACTGAAGCATATATCCGTACTTTATTTCTTCTTGTTGACAAATAATATTCCATTAAATGGCTATACTATATTTAATTTATCTGTTAACCAATTGATATATGTTTGAATGTTTTCCATTTTGGCTATTATAAATAATGCTGCTATAAATAGTAATACATAAGTTTTTGTGTTGACATATATTTTCATTTATCTTGATAGATACCTAGGAATAAAATGGCCGGGTCATGTAGCAACTCTATGTTTAACAATTTGAGGAACTACTGCCAAGACAGTTTCCAAAGGAATTTGGTCATTCTACAGTCTTATCAACAATGTGTGAGGGATCCAATTCCTCCACACCCTTGCCAAAACTTGTTATTATCTGTCTTTTTTGTTATAGCCATTCTAGGGGTTTTGTGTGTCTTGGATTTGTACTTCCCTCGTAGATAATATTAAGCATCTTTTCATATATATCAGCCATCTGTACATATTCTTTGGAAATATATCTTTCAGGTCTTTTACTTATGTTTTAAATTGAATTATCTTTTTTTTTAATTCCTCACTTGAGGATATATTTTTATTGATATAGAGAGAGAGGGGAAAGAAGAGAGAGAGAGAGAGAGTGAGAGAGAGAGAGAGAGTGAGAGAGAGAGAGAGAGAGTGAGAGAGAGAGAGAGAAACATGGATATGAGAGAAATATCATTTGGTTGCCTTCATATGTGTCCCAACCAGGTATTAAAACTGCAACCTTGGTATGTGCCCTGATCAAAAATTGAACTCACAACATTTTGGTGTATGTAATGATACACTTGTATATTCTGAATACAAGGCCCTTCTCTGGTTTATGATTTACAAATATTTTCTCCCATTCTATGAGTTATCTTTTGTCTTTCTTAATGTGTCCATTATAGCACAAATGTTTTTAGTTTTGATGAGAATACTTAGTTTTTGTTCTTGTTGCTGGTGATTTTGATGTCATACTAACACCTGAACAGCAAACGGAGGTTCATCTCGGGATTGTGTCTCATGAATTCAAAGAATGAAATTTCGAACCAGAAGAATTAAGGAAAAGGTGTAGGATTTATTCAAGCATATGCAGACCTCTCACATGGGAAGGGGGCACAAGAGAGGGGTTTGCACCAAAGCTCACTTGTCTAAAAATTTTTATCCATCCTGAGCCCACTCTTTATCTGTGTCACTCTCTGATTGGTTCTTTGCCTAGCAACAATTTCAAAATCCACCGGTGTTCCCCCTTTTTTTCCTCTTCCTCTCCTTCTTTTGCAACATTCTGCACTTGCAAGATAAACATCCTTGTCTCGTGACATCCTGTTTTTCTGCAAGACAAACATTTTGTAGTTTTAGCTAGCTCCAGCTGTCACATCCACACTTCCTTCTTCTCTGACCCCTTATCCTGTCTGCCTAATTTATCTCTAGCTCCTCTCAATATTTAAAAGACATTGTCTAATCCAAGGTAAAAAAAAAATATATCCCTATATTTTCTTCTAAGTGTTTTATACTTTTAGGCCTTATATTTAGGCCTGCAACCAAAACAGTGTCGCACTGACATGGAGATAGACTTCTAGATCATTGGAATAGTACTGAGAGTCTGGAAATAAACTCTTACATTGACAGATAATTTTTGACAAGGGTTCCAAAATATGATAATCCAATTGAGAAGATTTTTTTTAACAAATTGTGCTTGGGACAATTGGACATTCATATACAATTGAATACATTAAGCTTCTTTCTGATACCATATAAAATTAATTAATGCAAAATGAAATATAAATCTTTAAATAATAGTCTATTTTGTTATACGGATGTGTCATATGATCCTTTATTATAGACACATTTTTACTACAATAAATAAAAGTATAAGTTTTTACTATTACAAGTAAAGATCTTTTATTGTGGGAACCTCTTTCACGTCCCTCGTGGTTCAGGGTTCCAGTTCAAGGTTTGGGTCTGGAGAAGACCCACACAAATGAAAGAAACTAGAAAAATATTAATTTGGGAATATTGGGGGCCAGGTGGGAGCCCACCTCTAGTGGTAGGACTATGCTTTGCTTGGCCTTGCCATCCCTTTTACTCAGGTTTGGGATACATCCATTGTCCTTAGGAAAGTAATTCTAGTAACAGGCAGATTATCTTATCAATAAGTATTTACATGATTATTTGGTGGGGAAGTTGCCTCAGTTACCAATGTCTTAATTAGATAGGGAATGGTTGGCTATGACCTTTCAGAGCATCAAGATTGACCAGCTTTCCAGGTTCATTGTCCACATCTGTTAGTGAGATAATGATCAGTTTCCAGCATTTTATATAAACCTATGCATTGTTTCTTTTTATTCCTTGAAAATATTTTAAAAATATATATTTTTTATTGATTTTTTACAGAGAGGAAGGGAGAGAGATAGAGAGCTAGAAATGTTGATGAGAGAGTAACATCAACCAGCTGCCTCTTGCACACCCCCTACTGGGAATGTGCCTGCAACCAAGGTACATGCCCCTGACCGGAATTGAACCTGGGACCTTTCAGTCCGCAGGCCGACACTCTACCACTGAGCCAAACCGGCTTCGGCTGATAATTCTTTTTTTTCTTCTTTTTTTAATATATTTTATTGACATTTTTTTACAGAGAGGGAGAGGGGTAGAGAGTTAGAAACATTGATGAGAGAGAAACATTGATCAGCTGTCTCCTGCACACCCCTACTGCACACAACCAAGGTATTAATACATGTCCTTTACCAGAATCGAATCTGGGACCCTTCAATCCACAAGCTGACGCTCTATCCATTGAGCCAAACTGGTCAGGACAAATTGATAATTCTTTACCACTTTTGGACTTGTGCCTTCCTCCTTTGGTGATCCTAATAACAATGATGCCAGAAGCGAGATCTCAACTGCTGCTGAGAATGATAGTTTTGCAATTTTGTTTATGTATTTGAAATTAAGGATAGAACTAAGAAAGAATACTTGAGGTTGGGAGAAAACAAATCAGGGATTGGATTACAGGATAGTTAATAAGATTATGTGCTTTCTTGAGGATGTCTAATCTTCTGAGGGTCTGAAAAGAGCATTTCAAGGGTGTTAACCTAGATGAAGAAGAACAATGGACAGGGCTTGCTTAAGGCAAAGATAAACCTTTTACTAAAAAATTATATGCCTGGGGCATGACTACTCACCATGACTTGCCTAGTTAAGAATTTATGATTACATCATCCTGTGAGGTTACTCTTGGTCACTGGACTTGTCAGATTGGTTATAGAGAGAGCCCCTCCATTTAAAAAAATATGCTTTTTTATTGATTTCAGAGAGAAAGGGAGAGGGAAAGAGAAACATCAACAATGAGAGAGAATCATTAATTGCCTGCCTCCTGCATGCCCCTTACTGGGTGGGGATTGAGCCCAAACCTGGGCATATGCTCTCACCAGGAATTGAACTGTGACTTTATGGTTCATAGTTCCATTGTCAACCATTGAGCCATACCAGTGGGACTATAGGTGCCCCCCTCCCCCTAATATTTATTTATTTATTTATTTATTTATTTGTTTGTTGCTCACAACCTCACTACCCAGACCAGCTGATTCAATAAATATGGGGTGGGACCTAGAATCTATATTTAAACAAGTTTTTTAGATAATTTTGATGCATATGTTTAGCGTTGCACTATCCAACAAAAAACTATTGTGAGCCATAGGTAATTTTAAATTTTCTAGTAGTCATTTTAAAAAATGAAAAGAAATTAACCTTAATAATTTATTTTACTCAATTCAATATATCCAAAGCATTATGATTTCAAAATGTAATGTAATTGTTGTAGGTGGCCAGAATGGAACCATGTTTTAGACTAGGGGTGTCGAACTCAATCAGAGAAGGGGCCAAAATCTAAAATCCAGCCTAAATCGCGGGCCGAATGGTTTACTGAATAGTCATAAACTGTCATTGTGATAGAAACGCAGCGGAGTGCAGTGATGACAGTGCGGTGTGGGCCACATTGCAAGGCCTGGCGGGAAGGATTTGGCCTGCGGGCCTTGTGTTTGACACATGTGTTTTAGACTGATGGGTCAAACTGTATCTGGGTTCAGCAACTTTGATACTTGAGTTATGGGTAGGAAAGAATTCAGATCCAAGACTCAAACTATAAGGAGACATCTATGTATAATATATAAAAGGCTAAGTGACTGACCATCTGATTAACTCACCAGCCAATACATTTCAATTTGGACCAGCCACATATCAAATGCTCAACTGCCATGTGTGGCTACAGCTTTTATTTGGCCTAGAGGCCCAGTGCATGAAATTCACGCATGGTTTGAGGGCGGCGGGGGTGTGTGTGTGTGTGTGTGTGTGTGTGTGTGGCTCAACCCAGCCTGCATCCTCTCCAATCTGGGACCCCTTGAGGGATGTCCAACTGCTGGTGTAGGCGTGTTCCCAGATCAGGCCTAAATTGGCAGTCAGACATCCCTGTCACAATCCTGGACCACTGACTCCTAATCGCTCACCTGCCTGCTTGCCTGGTCACCCCTAAATCACCCAGCACCCCCCCCCCCCTACACACACACACCTGCCGGCCTGATCACCCCTCACTGCCTCTGTGTGCTGGCCTGATTGCCCCTAACAGCACCCCCTGCTGACCTGGTTGCCCCTAACTGTCCCCCACTGCTGGCCAGGTCTCTCCCAACTGCCCCCTCCATATTGACCTGGTCACCCCCAACATGTGCACGCATGTGCATGCGCACTGCGCGCGCGCTCACACCCTCCACCCCCCTGCTGTTCTGGTCACCCCTCATGGCCTGCTGTTAAGTCGTTTGGTTGTCCCTCACTAACCCCCCTGCCAGCCTGGTCATAGGCAGCCATCTTATGAGGGTGTGAGAGTTAATTTGCATATTACATATTACCTCTTTATTATATAGGATAGGGCATGTATAAAGAATTAGACAACACTAGATTATAACTATGGAGGACAGAGACTGCATTTTCATTCATACTTTTGCAAAGTCTAGCAAAGTGCCCCGAATATAAACAATGTTCAAGAAATATTTGTTGGTTGGTCAGTTAGTCACTGTAGCAGGTTGGGCTATAATTATACAAAGCCATGTTCCTATGGTTGTGACTGTGGCTTGAGAAAAAGCCCTACGTTTTTCTGAGGTATTCAGAAATCTCCTAGGGCTGTTAATAATCTTTAGTATTCTATTGAGAATCACTTCAAAGGCTCCGATGGAGGAGGGACTCACTTCACAGGCTTTAAGAGGGAGAAATAGAGCAAGTTAGGAAAGTTGGTTGCCAAGACAACCTTCTCAGGATTGAAAGAGGACAATCAAACATTGTAGACCCAAGCTTGGTATGCCTGCAATCTCTCCTTTTGTTACACACTCTCATTGTGCTAGGCTATAAGGAAGAATAGTTTTGAAATGGCTATTTAAGAGTGTGATTTGGAGCCAGAGGGTCATGTGGCATTAAAAGTGTTTGAAGTGCAAAAAGAAGGAAAGAGGATTGCTTCTCCATTTTGGCTCAGATCAAATGAAGTATTTGTTCTATCAGTGCAATATCTGATAGGTCCTCCACCTGAGGACAACCTTTTACATGGATTTTTGGAGCAGGGAGGTAGAATAAGATCTTGCTCAGTCCATTCTACTATTGACTCAACATTGCAGTACTTTTAGGAGAGTGTGCACGCTCACACATACATACATACACACACACACACACACACACACACACACACACACACACACACGAAAATTAGCAACCTGAACTTGTGCCCTGATCAGGAATCAAATTGGAAACCTTTTGGTGCACAGGATGATACCCATCCATCTGAGGCACAGTGGCCAGGGCAACTGTTTCCTACTATTTTGATTTTATCCTATACTAAATTCATATGTACATTTAAATCTATTTCACCACCCTATTGTCTGTGTCTATGGGTTATGCATATATGCATACAAGTTCTTTAGTTGATCTCTACCCATCCACCCATCCTCCCCTGTCTTCCCTTGAAATGCCACAGTCTGTTTTATGCTTCTATTTTGTTTGTTTTTGTGGTTAATCCTCACCCGAGGATATTTTCCATTGATTTTTAAAAATATATATTTTATTGATTTTTTACAGAGAGGAAAGGAGAAGGATAGAGAGTTAGAAACATCAATGATGAGAGAGTAACATTGATCAGCCGCCTCCTACACACCCCCTACTGGGGATGTGCCTGCAACCAAGGTACATGCCCTTGACCGGAATTGAACCTGGGACCCCCTCAGTCCACAGGCCAACACTCTTTCCACTGAGCCAAACCGGCGGCTCCATTGATTTTTAAAGAAAGTAGAAAGAGGAGGAAACAGACACACAGAGAAACATTGATGTGAGAGAGACATCAATTGGTTGCCTCCTGCAAACACCCTGACAATGGCCAGGGACCAACCCTGAAACCAAGGTACGTGCCCTTGACTGGAATTGAACCTGGGACCTTTAGTCTGCAGGCTGACACTCTACCCACTGAGGTAAACTGGTTAGGACTTATGCTTCTATTTTGGATCTATATTCTTCATAAGTTTATTTTGTTCATTAGATTCCACCTATGAGTGAGATCATGTGATACTTGTATTTCTCTGACTGGCTTATTTTGCTTAGCATAATAATCTCCAGGTCCTCCATGCTGTCGCCAAGGGTAAGAGATCCTTTCTTTTTACTGGTGCATAGTATTCCATGGGGTAAATGTATCACTGCTTTTTAAAAAATATATATTTTTATAGGTTTAAGAGCGGAAGGGAGAGGAAGAGAGAAACATCAATGATGAAAGGGAATCATTAATTGGCTGCCTTTGGCACCCCACCCCTGCTTTCCACTGGGGACCGAGCACACAACCTGGGTACGTGCCCTTGACCAGAATTGAATCTGGGACCCTTGAGTCCATGGGCTGAGGCTCTATACATCAAGCCAAACCGTCCAGGGATACCACTGCTTTTTTATCCATTCACCTACAGATGGATACTTGGTCTGTTTCTAGATCTTAGCTATTGTAAATTATGCTGCTACGGTATGTACATAGGGGTGCATACATTCTTTCTGATTGGTGTTCTGGGGTTCTTAGAATATATTCCTAGAAGTGGTATGACTGGGTCAAATGGCAGTTCCATATTTAATTTTTTGAGGAAACTCTATACTGTTCTCCACAGTGGCTGCAGCAGTCTGCATTCCCACCAGCAGTGAACTCGGGTTTCCTTTTCTCCACATCTTCACCAGCACTTGTCATTTGTTGATCTGGTGATGGTAGCCATTTGGACAGCTGTGAGGTGATACTTCTGTCATTTTAATTTACATCTCTGTGATGATCAGTGACTTTGAGCATTTTTTCATGTCTCTTGGCCATCTGTAGGTCCACTTTGAATAAATGTTTATTTGTCTTCCTTTTGTTAAGTTGTATGAGTTCCTTATATATTTTGGATATTAATCTTTTATAAGATATATCATTGCCAAATATGTTCTCCCATACAGTGAGCTCCCTTTTCACTTTGTTGATGGTTTCTTTTGCTGTTCAGAAGCTTTTTGATGTGGTCCCATTTGCTTATTTTCTCCTTAGTTTACTTTGCCCTAAAAGATGTATCTGTAAACATGCTACGAGAGATGTCTTGAGATTTTGCTGCCTACAGTTTCCTGTAGGATTTTTATGGTTTCATGACTTACATTTAAGTCTTTTATCCATTTTGAGTTTATTCTTGTGTATGGTGTAATTTGGTGGTCTAATTTCATTTTTTTGCATGTACCTGTATAATTTTCCCAACACCATGTATTGAAGAGATTATCTTGACTCCATTGTATGTTCTTACCTCCTTTGTCAAATACTAATAGAGCATATTGGCTTGGGTTGATTTCTGGGGTCTCTGTTCTGTTACATTGATCTATATGCCTACTCTTATGCCTGTACCAGCTATTTTGATTACAGGGGCTTTGTAGTATAACTTCCTATCTAGAATTGTGATCCCTCCAACTTTGTTCTTCTTTCTCAAGATTGCTGTGGGTATTCAAGGTTATTTTTGGTTCCATATAAATTTTTAGATTGTTCCATATCTGTGAAATATGCATTAGTATTTCAAACAGGGATCGCATTGAATGTGTAGATTGCTTTGGGTAAACATGACATATTCTAGCACTTGTTTATGTCTTTTTTTTATCCCTTTCTATCCCTTTTGTCAACATCCTGTAATTTTCAGAGTAAAAACCATTTACCTCCTTGGTTGAAGTTATTCCTAAGTACCCTAATTTTTTGGGTTTTTTTTTTTGTTTGTTTTTATTTATTTATTTATTTATTTATTTTTAATTTTTTGTTGTTTTAATGGTAAATGGGATTGTTTGTTTAGTTTCTCTTTCTAAGAATTCATTTTTAGTGTATAAAAATGCCATCTATTTCTGGATATTAATTTTACATCCTGCTACATTGCCAAATTCATTGATTAAATCTAGTAGTTTTTTGGTAGAATCTTTAGGGTTTTCTAAGTACAATACCATGTCACTTGGGAATAATGACAGTTTTACTTCCTCCTTTCCAATTTGAATGCCTTTTACTTCTTCTTTTTGTCTGATTGCAGTGGCTATGACTTCCAGTACTATGTCGAGTTAAAGTGGTGAAAATGGACATCCCTGTTCTTGTTCTCAGGGGAAATGTTTTCATTTTTGCCCATTGAATATGATAATGACTGTAGGTTTGTCATATATGGCCTTTATTATGTTAAGACTAGTGGCCTGGTGCACGAAATTCGTGCAGGGGGGTGTGTGTCCCTCAGCCCAACCTGCACCTCTCCAATCTGGGACTCCTTGGGGGATGTTTGACTTGCCGGGCCTAAACAGGCAGTTGGACATCCCTCTCATAATCCTGGACTGCTGGCTCCCAACTGCTTGCCTGCCTGCCTGATTGCCCCTAACCGCTTCTGCCTGCCAGCATGATCACCCCGTAATCACTCCCATGCCAGCCTGATCAACACCTAATTGCTCTCCTGCTGGCCTGATTGTCCCCAACTGCCCTCCCCTGACAGCCCAGTCACCCCCAAATGCCCTCCCCTGCATATTCCCTTTTTATTAGATAGGGTTTTTTTCTTTAAAATATTGGACAGCCCTAACTGGTTTGGATCAGTGGATGGAACAATGGCCTGCAGACTCAAGGGTCCCAGGTTTGATTCTAGCCAAGGCCATGAACCTTGGTTAGGGGCACATACCCAGTGGGGACTGTGCAGAAGGCAGCTGATCAATGTTTCTTTTTTAATATATTTTATTGATTTTTTACAGAGAGGAAGAGAGAGGGATAGAGAGTTAGAAACGTCGATGAGAGAGAAGCATCGACCAGCTGCCTCTTGCACACTCCCTACCAGGGATGTGCCTGCAACCAAGGTACATGCCCCTGACCGGAATTGAACCTGGGACCTTTCAGTCCGCAGGCCGACACTCTACCACTGAGCCAAACCGGTTTCGGCTGATCAATGTTTCTCTCTCATAGATGTTTCTAGCTCTCTATCCCTTTCCCTTCCTCTCTGTAAAACATCAATAAAATATATATAAAAAAAGAAACATTTAAGATTCCTCCATATCTGTCTGGCTGGTGTGACTCAGTGGCTGAGAACCCAGGCCGGGCTGGGAGGGGATCACTGAGTGGATCTGTGCGCCGCTGCTGGCCTGAGACTCCAGGCTGGGGCCTTGGACCCAAACTGCTGCTTGGTGCTGGAGCATTCCCAAGTGGCTGCAGGTGGAGTGGACCATCCCAGTGTCACTATGGTGACACAGGGATGTTCCAGACCCACTCCCAGCCACTTGACGCCTGCACTCATAGGCTCTGAGTGGCCAGGGGACATTCTGGGACCCCTATCACTCAAGGCTTATGGGTCTACAGGCTATGAGCAACCTGGGTCTGGAGCATGTTCCCATTGCCTGGGAAACCCAAGCCTCCCTCCTGATCTCTGTAGCTATAGCCATCTTGGTTGGGTTTATTTGCATACTTGCTCTGATTGGCTGGTGGGCATTGCTTGTGCGTGTAGCGAAGTGATGGTTAATTTGCATATTACTCTTTTATTAGGTAGGATATGATCCCTCTATGCTGACTTTGCTAAGAATTTTTAGTCAAAAAATGGATATTAAGTTTTGTCAGATATTTTTTCTGTCTATTGATATGATCATGTGATTTTTATCCTTTTTTTTATTGATTTGAAAATATTGTACCAGCCTTGTATCCCTAGAATTAATCCCACTCGATCATAGTGTATTATTTTTATTTTTTTTAATTTTTATTTTATTTTATTGATTTTTTACAGAGAGGAAGAGAGAAGGATAGAGTTAGAAACATCGATGAGAGAGAATCATCAATCAGCTGCCTCTTGCACACCCCCTTCTGGGGATGTGCCTGCAACCAAGGTACATGCCCTTGACCTGAATTGAACCTGGGACCTTTCAGTATGCAGGCCGACGCTCTACCCACTGAGCCAAATCGGTTTCGGCTGTATTACCTTTTTAATATATTGCTGGATCCAACTTGTAATGTTTTAGCATCTATGTTCATCAGAGATACTGGCCTTAATTCTCTTTCTTTGTGTCTCACTATCTATGTGGGGTCCTTCTATGCACGTAGTCAAACTAATTTTTCTCCTTTTAATCAGTCTAATGTCAATTTGCTTATTAGATATGCCAAAGAACTTAAAAGGGTAGGGAAAAAAAATTCCTTCTCAACACAGGTATCAATATCTAATGGCTTGTTTGTATGATCTGTTGATGAAAGGTTTGAAAAGAGGAAGGACAACTTACAACCATGGTATTTTTATTTTACTACTAAAAATATACTGTGGTATTTATTTACAATAGAATAAATAAGTACTGTTGTTAATATAGGACCATTTTGATTAGTTTTCTGTCCTACAAATCTTTGAAATTATTTACGCTAAATTTTGCTATCTGAATAAATTATAGGAGATTCTATTCTGTTTTTACACTTCACTGTTTGGAAACATCAGACTTGGTTGGCAGGCTTGTAAGGAGGACATTCTGATAAAAGGGAAGTGTGTGAAAAGCTGCTTGCCCTGTTTATGGGAATTCTGATTTAGGGGAGTGTTGAAGGCGGTGACCCTAATTATTCCTTGACCTTTCCAAACAAGTCTGTGCATATGCCAGACCCCCGGGTGTTTACTGGAATCCTTATGCTTAATCCCTGGATGCCCTTGCCTAGAGAACAATGTAAACTTCCCAAGATTACTCACCCAACTGATTGTATCTAAAGATAAAAATTCCAATAAAGGCAGGCAATGGAGGCAGCCTGGCTTCTTCAGCTGGGCAAGCCCATTACTCCTCTCCCAAACAGTGAAACTGTGTCGAAGTAATCTGTTCATCTGTCATTCAAGGGTTGCTGATCAGTCCCGGCATTTCTCTACCCTTATCCCTTTATACTTTATTACCCTATTTTTATGATTTTTATACAAGAAGGTTTAAATACAAAACAATATGCTTGAATTTTGACACAGGCCTCCAAAAAACTACTACCATGAAGAGCTGAGCCAGAATCTGTGTTCAATGGATTTAACTTTCCTATAATTATAAATATTAGCTTTCTCTTTTTTTAAAATATATTTTATTGATTTTTTTACAGAGAGGAAGTGAGAGAGATAGAGAGTTAGAAACATCGATGAGAGAGAACCATCGACCAGCTGCCTCCTGCACACCCCCTACTGGGGATGTGCCTGCAACCAATGTACATGCCCTTGACTGGAATCAAATCCAGGACCTTTCAGTCTGCAGGCCGACGTCTATCCACTGAGCCAAACCGGTTTCGGCAATATTAGCTTCTTTCTTTTTGTGAAATACAAAATGAACTTGATCTCCAAAGAGAACAGAAGCTTTAAACCCTGGTAGAGTTTAAAAGTAAGATTAAAAAAAAAAAAAGACACTAGGGTTCATCTTCCTGTATGTGTGTTCCAGAAATAGTTAATTTCCCAAGGAACACAATAGTTTAGGGTTCACTTCAGCTGAAATTTTGTGGTTCACACAGTTCATGCAGTCTCTACCTCAGAGACTTGAAATATGGTAGCAATCATACTTGGGTAAAAACTGTTTGAATTTTAACCTTGCTATCTGACTTTGACCTTTGATTACTTGCTTAAACAATAGGGTAGTTACAGGAGATTGACTCCCACTGACTCAGTAGCTTCAGGGGTAGAAACTGTAGATAACCTTTAGTTCTGCTTTTGTATTATGGGCAAGATAGGGCCACATTCCAATGTCCAGCAGGGTGTGACTGAGAACCAACCCTGAAAGCTGTCCCCAGTCTTTAGAATTTAGTCTTTAAGATTTAGGAACAGATAAGGACGGCCAGTTCTTTGTCCTGAGGGGCCAATCAGGGTTAGCCGAGGCAGTGATATCACCACCGACCTGAGTAAAACCCCTGGACTGGGCGAAATTCTCCCTCTTCCGACATGCTGCCGGCATGAGTGGGACAGAGCCCATGCTAACATGGAAAAGGCTCTTTTGTTTATTGCATCGGACTCGGCTCCTTGGTGGTCCTTGGGGATCATGAATTCATCTGGGATCCCCAGCCAGGACCATGAGGGACCCCAATCCAGAGAGCCTGACTGGCCATGGTAGGTGTGTGTTTGTCTGTGTTTTTGTGTGAGCGCTCTGGAGGGACTGCCCCTCCACCGGGGCTCTTATCTGGGTGTTTGCCGGCTGCTGCGTCTGCCACGGTTTGAGCCCGGATTCAAATCTGTAATAAATTCTTGCTGGCTTAATCAAATTCGGTGGTCCATCTTTTGGGGACTCGCTCCGTAACAAGACTAGGAAAGCCAAATGCTTAACTTTCTTAATCTTACTTTTAGCCAGTTGTGGTCATTGTGACACAAACAGGAGACTGTTGGTAAATAGGGGGAAAGTGTTTTGTTTTCTGATGAAAGAGACTGCTATAGATTGAATGTTTGTGTCTCATCAAAATTCATCTGGTGAAACCTAATCCCCAATGTGATGATATTAAAAGATAGGGCTTTTTATGAAATGATTAAGTCATAAGGATGGAGCCCTCATGAATGGGATTAATGCCCTTATAAAAGAGGCCCCAGAGAGCTTCTTGTCCCTTCTGTCATGTGAGGACACAGTAAGAAGGCAAAAAAATCTATGAATCAGGAAGTGGGCTCTCGTCAGACATGAAATCTGCTAGTACCATGAACTTCCCAGCCTCCAGAATGGTGAGAAATAAATATTTGTCATTAAAGCAACTCTGTCCATGGTATTTTTGTTCTAGGGAAGCATGGTGGCAATCATCTTGGGTAGAAACTGCAATTTACAATAACTTTAACTTAAACCCTGCTGTTTTGGCTCTATAAGTTTTTTGCTTGCTAAAACAATAGAAAAGTTATTTTGGTTTTTCTGAACTTTTGTATGCTATCCCAATGGATTGAATGCTCCATCCATTGTTGGTGGTTTGAATATCCCATTGATTGTGATCTCACTGGTTACCAAGCACATTCTTCTGTACCTGGGGGCCAGGACAGCGCAATTATCCTAAATTGCCTCAGAGATTCCAGATAATGTGTTTTTGTTGATTCAGTGCTCCCAAGACCCAAAACTATAATTAATCTTTTTTTTTTTTTTTTAGAATATTGGATCTAATCCAATTATTTTATTATTTTTTAAGAATATATTTTATTGATTTTGTACAGAGAAGAAGGGAGAGAGAGAGTTAGAAACATCGATGAGAGAGAGTCATCGATCAGCTGCCTCTTGCACACCCCCCCTGGGGATGTGCCCATAACCAAGGTACAGGCCCTTGACCAGAATCGAACCCGGGACCCTTCAGTCCCCAAGCCGACGCTCTATCCACTGAGCCAAACCGATCTCGGCTAGAATTAATCTTTATAGATAATTAACTTGCTCAATTTCGCTTTTGTAACTGCTTTGTGCAAACCAGGTCCCTCATTCCAAACCCAAAGATGTAATTGATAACTTTGTGATATTCAGTATATAAGACTGAAGTAGCCAGCATTTCAGGGTTGCGAGATTTGGAAAGCTTTTGCCCCCTTGTAACCACCAGCTTTTGAATAAATGACTTCATAATTCGACTTCTTGGTCGAGGCATCCTTTGTGAGATTTAAAGGGGTAACACTACATTAGCAGACTAAGACAGAAAGGTGGATGTGGCTGATACCCCCTCTTCTCTCCTTTTCTCTCTTAAAAGCAGAACTGATGCCTAGAGTCCTGGCAACTATTTTTATTTTTAAATTGATTTGAGAAAGGGAGGAAAAGAGAGAGAAACCTTAGTGTCAGAGAGAAACATTGATTGTTGCTTCCTGTATACACCCTGACCAGAGATCAAACTTGCATTGAACCCACAACTTTTTGGTGTATGATGGGATGCTCCAACCAACTGAGCGACACCAGCCAGGGCTGGGCAAGTATTGTTTACTTTGAATTTTGCTCAAAGAGTATTTCAGGACATTGGCCTAGACTTTAATGCCAATACTCCTTATCTCCAAAATTTTTATGTGGAAAAAG